TGTCCTCTGTCCTCTGACCTGTCCTCCTGTCCTCCTGTCCTCTGACCTCTGTCCACTGTCCTCTGACCCTCTGTCCTCCTGTCCTCTGACCTGTCCTCTGACCTCTGTCCACTGTCCTCTGACCCTCTGTCCTCTGACCTGTCCTCTGTCCTCCTGTCCTCTGACCACCTGGTTTTGTCCTCTGTCCACCTGGTTTTGTCCTCTGACCTGTCCTCTGTCCACCTGGTTTTGTCCTCTGACCTGTCCTCCTCCTCCTCAGGTCTTTGGGATCCTGTCCTGCTTCGTCTTCGTTGTGGACCTGGTGTTCTTCTACAGAACAAACGGGTTCCCCTTCAAAAAGGACCAGAACCCAGAAGCCAGGAACGGGGTTCCGGCCCAGGCGGAGCAGCAGAGACTGAACACCCCTGTGAATACGGCTGATTAGGGCTCAGGTGATTTACCTGTGGACAGGTGGGCGGAGCTTCAGCTGCGTTCTTTTTATTTTTTCTGTCTGTAAATGTCATCGATCATCTTTTAATCATCAAAGTTTGAGTTCAGGTTTTTATTTCAGCAGCTGCAGACACTAAACCTACAGACCTCTACATGTTTCAGGTAAACAGGAAGTCACAACGTTCATCACTTTAAAGATTTCTATTAAACGTTTAAAGATCAACAACTGTTCACTTATTTTTACAAACAGCCTGAGATTTAAAGAACTTTGTTCTTTTATTTTGTATTTAATTACTGTAATTTCCTGAAATTGAGGGTTTTTTGAAGTTTTGAAGTTTGTTGAAGCGGAGCTGGAGAATCCAGAGGACAGAGTTAGAGTTTGTGTTTTCCTGCAGTGCCTGAACGCATCATGTCTGAAGGTTCTGCTGCTCGGTTCTTCTCAGAACCTGGAACTTTTTCTGCTTTGTTTTATTTTAAATTGAAAAGTGACTCTGAATGTCCAGCTGTTTTATTTTGAAGGGTTGCAGTTCTTCCTGTGAGTTCCCCCTCAGTTCTCACACTCTGCAGCTTTAAACGGTTTCTTTTGAAGTTGTTTTTATATTGAGATCAATCAGTTTTATACTTTGATGTTTTTTCTTCAGGACCTTCTTGGTTCTGGTTCTGTTCGTCTGTCAGATGGAGGAACCATGCTGTTACTGAACCACTGAAAGGTTCTGCCTTACTGAACCAGACCAGAACCACTGACCCCAGTGGGTTCTGGTAAATCCTGATGGTCAAAGTTAGACCATCAGAACCGGTCCTTTGTTCTCAGATGATCCGGTCCCATCTGGACAGAAACAGAACTTCTTGGATCGGGTCCAGAATGCAGATGGGTCAGAACCTTAAAGACATCTGATCCACTTCTGGACTGATCCAGAACTCTGGTTCAGTTCTCTGACAGTGATGCATTCTGGGAGTTTGGACCTGGTTTCAGATGGAAGGATTTCTGTAAACTGGGTAAGGTCCAGTTCTGGACCCGTCCTCAGAGACGTGAGCTGGACCTCCAGAACCACAGAAAAGATTTTATAATGATGTTTTTCTGACAATCAAACAGCTGATGAAATATTTTACTGACAGAGAACAGAACTCTGTTTGTGTCTTTATGAATAAAGTTTGTCCAAATAAACACGTCTTCAGCCCTTTGTTTGTTTGTTTGTTTGTTTGTTTGTTTGTTTTTCTTTTTTAGAAGTAAATCTAGAGAAGAAAAAGGAGAAATGTAATGGGAAAGAATGAAAAAGAGATTGCAAGATATGAGATACACACCAAGAAAACACACACACACACACACACACATTTGTTTCTGGACCCCGTGGGGACCTTCCATTGACTTCCATTCATGTTTTTATGTTTTTTAGACTTTATATCCTAACCCTGACCATATACTCTAAAATTAACCTCACAGAAACTTACCTGACCCTAAAACTAACCTAAACCTTGGTCCTAAACCTAACAAAACACCTGTAACATACATTTGGACCCATGGGGACCTGACATTGGTCCCCACGATTCACTTCGGTCCCAACGAGGCTGCTTTTTTTTTGTAAAAAATACCCCACGTTGTAGGAAAAACCCATCCACACACGCACTTGTTTTTATGTCCTTGTGGGGCCCGTCCATTGACTTCCATTCATATTTTGGTAATTTTATTTCCTAACGC